ACACACACACACACACACACACACACACACACACACACACACACACACACACACACACACACACACAGGCTGCCTTTTTAAAGACTTCTGGGATTTAGCCCACAGACGTCTCAGACAGACTCTGTGTCCGACTGCATTTCCTATTTCTCTTTGGCCTGAGGGGGAGTACATGCACCGACAGAAATTCAGGAGAGGCTGACAGAGAAAAACGAGCCGCAGACAGGTTGTAGACAGGTGACCGCAGGACTAAGCTTATTAAGAGGACTCGGGCCACAGAGAATGACACAACTTTTTCATAAGTTCAAATGTGAAATAATACAGCCTACAGTTAAACCTGGAAGATATACGCAGCGGCATCAACGCTGAATGAAATGAAGAGCAAAGTACTGGAGGTCCTTTGAAAAACATACAAGGTTTAACGCAGTAGTTGCATGGACAATGATTTTTGTCTTCGATATAAATAGAAAAGTATATTCAGTCTCCATTTGAACCGAGGTAAACATTCTCCATAGCAGTTGCGATGATATCAGATGAGCTTTCGTTTTGTTGCAAGGACAAGTTTGTGAACACACCCTTCACAGAATCTTCCCTTCACATCTACAGCACTGGATAAAAAAAGAGTGATTTCTACATTGCTAAGTTTCTTAAATGAAAAGTGTGCTTTATGTATTTATATCTCAGGCATAGGCGGAGCGTGTGTAAGGCCACGGGGTCTTGGGGCAAAAATGACACTAAATTGGACAAAAATTCCCCTGCACAATCAAATTAAATCTATTGCGTCTGTTGCTAACAGAGTGTAAATGAATAGAAAGTGTCGACTCCGCATTAAATTAAGATTTGCTCATGTTGCACCGTATTTCATTTTAGGCGTTTTTACAGTGTTGCGCATTATAACCAATCACACACAATTATGTTGAGCTTAGGAATGCAATGGCTGATCAGAGGCGTTCAGATGAGACATCGCTGGAACTCATCAGTTTTGTTGAATGCGCGCATGTTCAATGACTGAATTCCGCGAATTCTCCCAGTAGCCCCTCACTGCAGAACACAAGATCCAGGGGGTGTGGTTGGATTCACATCTAGGGGGTGGAGATTGGTAGGTTTAGGGGTGGAGAAGGGTGGGTTTATGGATCAGGGGGACCATCTCAATTCTCTCATCATAAACAACAAAGCGCAGATGTACGTACAATGTACGTAAGGGATTAATTTCGCAGTGTAGACAGCTTCAGTGATTATAACGATAGTTTTGTTTTTTTGAGAGTGCGATAGATCAGAGTTAGTGATGTCATTTCTGTACATGATTTATTCGCCGTTTGAATAACCGTGGGAAGGAAACATTATATAATTATCAATTTCTAATGTTTTAATTAAATTGTAATCAAAATAAATACAAATTCAGTCCCATTAAACATATTTGATTAGCCTACATGACACCCATGTCTGGTTCTTGCCTAAAAAGACAGGTTTATGATGTTTATACTATGTAGTTAATAGATTTGGCTGCTTTTAGCCTTACCCTGGAGTTGGTTCACCCTCCGCCTGATAAGTGGCTGCAGTCGAAGATAATACGAAACTCTCTGCTCCTTTTCATTTCTTTGAGCAGAGGTCTGGTGTCCGTGGTGTCCAGAGGGAGCTGTCGGATCTTCAGCCTGATGTTATACCTGGCTGGAGCCATAATTAACTCCTGGAGTCTGATTAAACCTGCACAAGAAGAGTTGAGTGCCAGAGTCAATTACGTAGTATATCAGTAGCAGCTCAAACCAGCCTGGGGTGATCAAGCAGGTTTTCGAACATGATAGCTGGTAAGTTGTTGGTTGAATGTGGTCTAACAGCTGCAACCATCTTGAAGAAAACGGTATGCCATACTGATAT